CGACAAACAAAATAGAGTCCATTTAGAATCTCATTGCGAAAATGCAGTCCGATGCCAAAATTTCTACTTTATTTCAATCTCTTTCACTGTAAAATTTGAAGCTTCATAATAACGTGGTGGTTCTGAGGTTTTTTGAAAATAGACGATACACTAATTTTAGACTTTGAAATTCACTTTTTCGGATTCATAATACTTGTTGAAGTTGGTGGTGACATTTGAGGCCATACACTAATTAAGTGTCCCCAATATGAAAAAACCTTGCTCAATTTTTAATATTGGACTAAACATCAAGCTTTAGGATTGTTAATCACAATACTATTCATATATGCCACCAAAAGGTGGCACCTATAATACATAATAGTATAGGTGGAATCCCAGCCGTCATATCTTTGGGGGTTCAAAATAAGAAAAATATCTCCATACCACATATTTTTAGATTTCATTTCACAATATACCCAACCTTTTAAAAGATATCTTGAGACCTAAAATTGTAGATTTTATTTCTTTTAACCCTCTAAGCTAATTTAAATATGTTTTTTGAAGCCAAACAAATCTAAAAAGACATGTCATTTCTAAAAGCCATCTTCTCAAATTTATTTCTTTCCACACACCCCTTCTCTATATGTTTCTCCCATCTCTCTCCCCTCACTCTCTCTCATCCCGCTCTCTCTCTTCAAGTTTCTACAGAGAATGAGCGACATAGGAAGAGAGAGAAAAAGAGAAGTTTGGAGTATATAAGTGAAGAGATAGATAAGTTTGGGTTGGATTGATGGAGGTGAGAGGTTATCGGGAGGAGAGAGAGGTGTTTGGAGAAACACAGGTGGAGAGAGAGATGCAGGAAGAGAGAGAAAGAGAGAAGTTTGGGTATATAAGTGAACTGAAAGAAATGATTGGGTTTAGAAAGAGCATGTATTTCCCACATTTGTTTATATTAAAGAATATGTTTAAAGTGGCCAAAGGGTTGAAAGATTTCTTTTGAAACCCTGGGTTTATCCAGAAATGAAACTTAAAAATAAAAGATATGGAGATATTTTCCCTTCAAAATATACGTCACTATTTAAATTTTAACCAAATTTCTAGAAATCAAACTGAGATGAAATTTTGGTGTATGTACTTGACACCAACATGAAACATATAAAATATATAAAAAAATGTTTTTAAATAATTTAAAAATAATTTAAAAACATGAACCAAATCACCCTCATCATTTTTCATGAATATTTAGGTCATTCTATATTTTAAAAATATTTATTTTATATTTTTGTTGTATACCTTGTTTTTTAATACACATGTCCAAAATTTTATTTCGATTTGATTTCTAGAGAAAATATTAAAATTCAGATAGTGATATGTATTTTGAACCATCCGATAAAAATCAAACGGTTGGGATTCTACATATATTACTATTCATTATATGTAAGCCATTGGTAGCTTTTCTTTCCTTCATATATTTCCCAATGATAAAAGATAGGTAGTGATTTGGTATGTTGTTTTTGTTTCAAAAGTCAGAACACATTGCTTAACTTCTCCATCCTCTCAAGGGTTTATTTTTCCCTATTTCATTTTTTTTCTTTGAGCTTTTGGGCCAACCCACCTTTGGCTCTTATTCACATGGGCTGCCCCAAGTGCAGTCTTGACCGGGCCATCCCTACTTCAGGGTGTGATGGCTTGGCACTTGACCATATTTTGTGGCCTAGGCCCTAGTTTTTTTTGAGTCGGCTAGACCGGATTTGGCAGAACCAGTCCATGGCCACTCCTACTCATGGATTGTAGATTAGCTTAGCTCTCTTAAATATGACTTGTCCATTATATACCATGGCATGCTTCAACTCAAGGACAAGCAAGCATATTATGTACAAGATACGTAAAGGCAATTGTTACTTTAAATGATTATCCCTCCCTTAAGGTCCTAGGATACTTTTGTCATTTAAAATTTTGGGGATATTAGAGAAAAATGCGATTACATATGCAATTTAGAAGTGCTTGAAAAATTCACGCCCAGGGATTGAACATGGATTGTAGAATTTTTGGACGATCAAATCTTGGTGGGTGCTAGCTCGAAATACCTTTTTTTAGAAACTACAAAAAATCGTTCGGGTCTTTTATTTGAGGGAGCAAATGTACAATTTGCCCTTGTAGGAACACAATAGACAATTGTTCTCAATTTCTCATATTTGAATTTTGGTGTGGGCAAATATCACTTAATACTCATGGGAGTCATTTTAATCTAAGAAGGCATATCAGGGTGGCAACGGCTCACGTTGGATTCGGACCCCAAAAACTATTATGGGATACGGACCCAAAGTCACGAGATCCGGACCTGGAACCTAAAAATTAAGTTATCTATGTACATAAACATATTCTAACATATTTTTATAAATCGGGAAATGTGAGACCCAGACCTAACCCACCAGGTCTAATTTTTAGACTCATATGCGAACCCGGGTTGGGTCAAATTGTCGGGTCTCAGGTCGGGTGGGTCTGAGTCCATTGCCACCCCTAAAGGCCTAGGACGTGGGAAAATACCTGATGGTCTATATAGCCACACAGTAAAGTCCTATGTCATATACATGACTAGGTACTACATTCACCATTCTTTGTTAGCCTAATTTCAAAGGAGTTTTCCAACTTTTTATATCCCTTTAGAATAGGCTGTCAAGGAAGAAAAAATAAAGGAAAAGCAAAAATATGAATGCCTTGGGACTTGAAATGTAATCCATGCAAGATTGATGGAGAGCAAACTGTGAAAAACAAAAAACAAAAAACAAAAAAGATTCTGAAGCATTATATCGGTTAAAAAATAAAAAAAGGATTTTTTTTAATATTGAAAAAAAATTGGATGGATTTAGACTCTTCTGAAGATTGCATCATTATTTTAGGTCCTCAAAATTTTGGAACAAACTCCTAACTAGTGTTTTTCCTTAGGTTGAAAATGTGGATCTGGACCCTGTGGGAGCATAAAACCATGGAAAATTAAAAAAATACACCTACAGTTTCAACTATTTGTCATTTTACCATTTTTCAACTACTACAACTTATAATCATGTATCTTTTGATGGATTTTTTAAATTAAATAAAAATAAGCAAAATTTTAAATAATTTATCTCAAGTGTTTTTTGATAAAATTCCCGAAATTATTCAGTTAGCAAAATACATTAATTTTGGATCTCTCTTTTGAAAGGGTTTAAACGTGAGGTTCTATTATGTTTTTTTCTCTCAACTAGTATTATACTACTGTAAGGTCAAGGCAACATAAACTAGGGTTTTGGCACATGCTTGCTTTTTGGCATTGGAGAAAAGAAAAGGAAAAGGTCTTAGCTTTAATGGTGGCTTTTTCTTTTGTTGCTCATGCGGTCGTGTTGGAAAGCTTTTTTTATGACGTGTCATGGTGACATAGCCACGTGCTTTTCCCTTGATTTGAAAGAAACGTTTGATTTTATTTTGTCCTGTATATTGTGCTCCCGCTGGCGCAAACAATCCATTTTCTTCTCACAAAAATTTTATTGATTTGGAGTTTTGGTATCCACTTTAGAATCACGAGATGAGTATTTTCAATAGTTTAGATTCGACAATCCAAAAATTAGACAGTAATGTTATTAAATTGGCTACACCAAGTGGCCACTTTTTTTTTTTTTTTCCTTTTGGGGGTGGGGTGGGTTTCTTTTTTTGCCTTTTGGGTTGGTTGGGGGTGGGGGGGGGTGCGTGGGTGGGTGCCTCGGCTAGAGTTGTAAATAAAATATTAACATTTTATTGAACCTTATTTTAAATAGCGTATGGCAAATGCAGCAAGTCTTGTCATCTGATAGATATAAACAAATCCATAAATTTGGAATTGAGCACAACGAGCCGGTATTATTTGTACACAAAAGTCATAAATACTCCAATTTGTTAGATGTAAAATTGGGTGGTTGGGGCAAGTTATTTCCCTGAACAAAAACTAAAGTTTGAATTTCACATATAATAGTTACGTTATTTCCCTGAACAAAAACTAAAGTTTGAATTTCACATATAATAGCTAAGAGTAAATGTGAACTATTTGTATCATAGATAAATGGTCTTATTATATATTTTCTTTAAAGATATTACAAAAAGTTTGGTGTTTTCTGAAAATCTTCCAAAGGGGTAATTTTCTTGCAAACCAGTATTTGGATTTAGTCATAATGATGTAGTAAGCAAATTAGGCGAGGAAAATTTTCAAATAAAGTGAAAAACCACCAAGTTCAATATGAAGAAAACCTTTTTGGCAATTTAAAACATTTATTTAAAACTCCAAGAAAATGGACATATTTTTCATGGTAATGAAACTATATCCCACAGCATGATTTTGTACGAAAAGGTAAAAGTAAATAAAAGACAACATGCTTTTCACAAACCCAACTTCTCACTTCATTCTTTGTCATTTTGTAATAATAATCAATGTCCTAAGGGAAAAAATCAATAAAATTTGAATATGCACAAGAAATCCAACCAATATTATTGTGGTCATAAATACACCATTACATTTAGATTTACTTTTATTTATCTAGCTATGAAGCATAGTTGGGAAAAAAAGTTCAGATGATGGTAATCAGATTTAGAAGCATTTGGTATGACTCCCAAAAGAGAAAAATAAGACATTAGGGTGCGTTTCATAACGGAAGTGCTATGTTATTTTGGAATCGGCTGCTCCCTGCAGCTTCCTAAATATTGTAAGAAACCGAAAGCAGGCTTCCTTTGCTACCCATTGGAAGCTGCCGCTCTGGAACCTCAAGAAGGTGCAGCTTTTGGGCCGCATTTTCACGAACAAAATGCACCATAAAAGAAGTAGAATCATATAACAAATCCTCAATTATGCTAGACTTAGTTGCCTACCAAGAAAGACAATGACTTAATCATAATTGTTTTAAGTTAATATCTTTTGCAGCAATCACACTTTCCTGAAGGGATTCTGATAATAGAACCGGAATATGCAAAAGAACTATTACTATCTCTGTTATAACTAAATCCATCTCAGGGTTAGTATTTAATTGCTTTTATCTAGTTATGAAGCATATGGCATAATCCCCAAAAGATAGAAAAAAAAGAAGACATCAAAGGCAAAAGGAAGGAAAAACAAAAAAAGGCAAGAAATAAGTACCTCAGTTAAGCAAGATTTAGTTGCCTACTGAGAAAGACACTGCAACTTAAATAATTATTCATAAGTGATTCACATAATTTCGGGGGCAGTCAAGATCTCAAAATCTCAAAATCCAAATTGAACTTGAGGCTCTCATTTTTAATAGCTTGTCTCTTTTGCAAGTCTTCTAACACAGTCTCCATGGCCAAGTCAGGATCATCACAACTGCCCATGAACAACTCTGCAATCTCAGCTGGTGTCACTTGAACAACTCTTAAAGCCTCCTCCACCTCCTTCATCAGTGGGTGCTCTCCACTGAGTCCACAATAATTATTTGCTAAAATCTTAAATGCCTCAAACTCACAATAAGATAACAGTATATGCTTGTCCATTCTACCAGGCCTCAGCAGAGCTGGATCAAGGTTCTCTTTATGGTTAGTGGTGAAGATCATTATCCTCTCCCCTCCACAGGAGGACCACAGCCCATCGACAAAGTTGAGAACACCCGAGAGGCTCACCAGGCTCGTTGTGAACGCTGCCTCGTCGGTTTTCTCCCTTTGCCCTGGCTTTTCCTCTCTTTTCTCCTTCTCCATCACTCTCCTATTCGTGAGGTCCAAAGAACAGTCGATGTCTTCAACAACAATGATTGATTTGCTCTTCGTGGAAGTGAGGAGCTCCCTCAGCTGGGAGTTGTCCCTCACAGTCCTCAACTCGAGATCGTATATGTCAAAGTCCAAGAAATTGGCTATGGCTGCAATCAAGCTAGTCTTACCAGTACCCGGAGGCCCGTAGAGCAAATAGCCCCGCTTCCATGACCGTCCAACTCCCCTATAGAACTCTTTTCTGTTAACAAACCTCGTCAAATCATCCTTTATTTCGGATTTGAGCTTGGGATCAATGGCTAACGTATGGAGCGTAGAAGGATGAGACAGAGTCACAGAGGACCACAGCCGGTTATAGCGATCGCTGATCTTGTTGACATACAGCTTCATTTCTCTGTTCTTCATGGCTAATTGCTCGGCCTCGGTGATAACATAAGGGATATAGGAATTACTCACGATGTCGCGATACTTCCGATGGAACGAGAGCTCGAAGTACCGATTCTCATAGGTCTGAGAATATGGTTGGTCCCCACTCTTCTTCTGGGTGCAGTGAAAGGTCCATTGAAGGGGAACACCCTTATAAAGGTCAGTGAGTTTTTGGTGAGAATCCATTGAAAAGGTATGGGACCTAGAGTTTTTACCCTTCCAAAGCTTTAACACATTAGCTGAAGCATAGCACTTTGGTGCAAGGTAGGTTTGAATGGCCTCATAGGGCTCATTTGTGTGGCCTGATGCATTTTCCTCAACAATTATGGAGATATTGGGGTGGAAGAAGAAGGTGAAGAGCTTCTTGGTCAAGCGGTTTATTGCATCTCTCACTTGGGGTGGGAGATAATTGTGTAAAATCTCTCTTAGAAACACAATGGAAGCTAAGACTGAGCCCAGTGATTGCCAATCCATTGTTGCTCAAACAATTGCTTTGCTTTGTGTATGAACAAAGCGTGTTGCTCGAGGGGTCTAAACTCTAAAGGTGAGAGAAAATGACTGAGAAAATGTGGACAAGGGCTATAAACGATGAGAGAAACAAAGAGGAAGTGGAGACATGTTTGAAGTGTCTAAAGATGAAGGAGAGAGAGACAGAGAGAATGCAAGGAAGGTGAGGAAAGTCAACAAAAGTTGGGCTTTTTTCTTGTGTTTTGTATTTTCCCCTTGTTTTTTTTATTTATCTATTTTAATGGCCATTATTTTTGTGTGGAGATCCTAGTGAGAGGGCCCATACTATTTGTTTTATGTGACAAGTTGGACAATGTTCACGTTTCCGTTCCTTCATCACGAAGATTCCCTTGGATGTTCCATGTTTTCCTCTATCCATTTTTTTTTGCTCTTTTTATTTTTAATGAGGGTGTGGCTTCTATAAGATTGCAACCTTAAACAATTCAAGTAAGGTGCCCCTCTATCATAACAAGTAATTTTGATGTAAAAAATTCTTAAGATTATCTCAAAATATATTTTCGTATCTAATTATAAAATTTTAAACTCCAAAAATGGTTAAAATCCAGTAGATCTATATGCATAT